TGCTTATCAAACCCTACTTATCAAGTCTGTATCGTGTAGTTAATTCTTCTGCCCGCGTATATCCCGGCTGTATTGTAAACATTAATGCCGGATCCTCAGCGGCAAATAAGAAGAAAGAAGGTAGTGGAAATAGCATCGATACATTTTTTCAAGCAATTATTTCATGAATTATTAGATAATCCGCAGTCTTCTTGCTGATCATGTTATATGAAAGGAGAATACCATAAATAATGTTCTGATACCATCTTATGATAGAAATTGTATAATAATTTTGTTCATTGAAGGTTGATCGAATGAAAACTTGTCTGCAAACTTTCACAAAAAATGTGATATGACTTCTCAGCGAACTAAATATTTTCTGAGTATGCATTTTGAGACCAAATGGTAGTAACAATCTGACTTTCGATATACCAGAAAGGATATTGATTGAATAAAATTATGCAGATTATTGGGAGGATTAGTATTCATTAAAGCAACATTGCGGATTCGCATTGGCTCTAAAATTGCGCTCTAGAATTCAATTATAAATATTTCGTACTCCTCGTCAGAACTGATACGCTCGTTTCTCTATTTGTTCGCGAAACGTTCCATCGCATCGCCTTGGGTCAAACATTAATAATTCAGTCCGCACGCAAGGCTGAATTTGCCTACAAACCGTGAAGAACGTAATCGAATCATGCACACTATCTTTACGGTGGAAAATAAAGGTTTATATCGGACTTCTTCACTTTCACTGTTCCAAAACTGCGGGAATCGTTAAAAATAAAGTCGTCAATGGCAGTACACTATCGTTCATAAGTTTTCAAGTTTCAGCTATTGTACAAAATTGAAGAATTGCAGAAAAACTTAAGGAAACATGTGTAGTTCTTAATGAAGTATTGTAGTTATGGTACACCTGTAAGTGCTAATAATTTAATAATTTCATTTAGAAATGTGCATTAATTAAAGAAATACTTTAAAGACCCCTACAGCATGTTGCCTATAATACTACTTTCGGCAGAAATTATATTTTAGAATCATAATTATGACTGCTGAATGAACCACTTCTACAAGTGTTATATTAGAAATCGAAAATGAAAAGACAGGAATGGAAACATAGATTTCAACGATATTTAACAGAGATGACTGGAAAATTGCACAAAATCGAAAGTACGTATTTCGGAAGATAAGAGTAGAACACAAACATGGTTTATTGCGATAAATAATTCTGCGAAAATTTGCACAAGTCATAAATGCATAAAAATCCACAATCTACTAATTATTTTTTTCCCAGTACAAATTCATATGTTCACATTAACCTTTTAAAGTGGAATGGCGGCCCTGGAGCATTACTGAAATTTACCATACTGTAATTCTCAATTTTCACGTTGCTAAATAGGTTTAGATTTAATAAACTGCTAACCATATCATGGTCCGGGTAAACGCACTCGACCCTATCCACTTTATCATAGAACGTTGTGAATTAAAAATCTCTGGACAAAAAAATATTTTTCTAATCATTGAATAATAAATTTTAACTATAATAAATTTTAACTTCCTAGTTTTTGTTTCGTCGATAAAGACTTTGATATTGTTGGCATTTTGAAGGATGTAGTAGTTAACAAGTATTGTAGTAGTTAACAATTTAGTAGTTATCAAGTTAATGAAATACAAAAACACGAAATCAGACAGTTATTTCTGATATTTCATCACTTGCTTCTGTGATCGGTTCATAGAAGCTCATAGTACAATTTGGATATAATATCAATTATGATATTAGTACTTTAAAATATTCGTGACATCAGTTTTATTTTATCACTTTATTTTCCTTTTTTCATGACTGCCTTGAGTAGCATTTTTTCGTCTTTATTTTCCCGCTTCTTTCTTACTTACGCTGTCTTCATTTACTCTAATCTTTTCTATTGTTGTTGTTTTAACGATCTTGTACTGTATTGATCTCTATTATTTTCTCCATTTTTCATTTTATTTAATTATCTCGATCACTTGTTTCATCTTCTCTTGTATCTTTCTATTTTATCGCTTTTTTTCTTTCTTCTTTTTGTTTTTGACACGCTACTTTTGCAACATATTGTCACATTATTGCAACACAGGAACATTCTCTTTTATTATTATTATCATTATTATTTCACATAAGTTTTTCATCTAAAGATTACTCAATCTAACTATGAATCACATACGACGCCCAAATCAGTGAAAACGTTAAATAGTACAGATTCGTGTCGAGTATTGCCCCTGAAAAAATTGATTTTTTTTTTCTCGAAGAAAGAGTCTCGGGAAAAAATCGCCGACGTCTCGTTTTCGCAGGCAGGGTGTAGGTCATCGGTTCGAAAATGATTCTTAGGCCAGCGAAGACACGTCGGCCAGGGTGCGGGCGCTTGCGTGAAGCTCGAAAATGAGGGGGGTCGCGAGGGGGTTGCGGGTGGTCGGCGGTGTTGGCGGTGGCGGCGGCACAGGGGGATGAGTTTGGGGATTGTGAAAGCGAGGGCGCCTGCAGTGACTAGCCTCCATCGATTTACCGTGCGCCGCCATCTTGCCACCCTTCGCTACGGGGGTTGACCACCCACCCTCCCCCCAACCCCTTCGTTCGTCGGTGTCGACCCTCCACCCACCTCCCCTCGAGACAGAGGCAGACATTTTGAAAAATGATTCCGAAAGTCATCGTGCCTCGGCGCGTCGTTTTTCAGTCGGCACTTCTCCGTTCCCGCGCGTCTCCACACCGCCGCCCCTGCGGAACCGTTTCCTTTTTTGGCACGCAACCCTACGCCGGACTGACCGAGAGGGAAGAAAAAGCATTGCGTACGCAAAAAGAAGGCGGATCGGAACGCCGAGAAGACAGGGAAATAAATGAAGAGGACCCGGAGTCGAGCCGGTAATTTCGCGGCGCCCGGATACCCAGGAACCTCGATTATGCGAAAGACGTTCCTTCGTTTGGCTGTCTGTCAGGTGGATTTGCTCAACCGATTGCTTGGTCGAGGTCTCATCCCCTTGCTTTGTGGCATCGAGATGCATCCCTATTTGAGATTGCAAGTTGACGATTAGACCGCGGATCGTTGGCGGAATTTTCTCTTTAGTGAGAGAAGTTTTTATTTATTATTTACTATTATTATTACCGATTTAGTGGAATTTTCTGAAGCGACTATCGCGAAGCTATAGCCTATTGCTATGCAAAATCATCTCGGATACGTCATATATGTGTACGATGAAGAATACTCTTTAATATCACCGGTAAATATTACTAGAAAAATGTCTTCTGTCGTCAGACTGCGGACTTTTATGCAAATTCGAATTTTCACTTTATAAAAATGCAAATAAGGAATTTCTTTCCTTCGCTTTAATTTTACCGAAATGTTGGTTCCGGTAAAAATGGATAAAGAGTGTTGATATTTTTGGTTAGTATATCTGCATGTTTTGTTGTACTTCGTAATTCCAACAGTTTGAAAAATCCGCAGTATAATTATTATCGTAATAGTATGTCTGTTTGGAAATTGAATTAAGGTTGTTCGTTAAACGCGAACGAACAATAAATTGAAAAATTAAGAGTATCTTCGGTCGCATCGAGTTTTATTTAATTTAGTTTTCGAGGGACATCAATCACTAAATCTATCGGGCACTGAAAGTAACTGATTTGCCTGTACACAATTTATCAGCATGAATTTGCTTGTACACAATACCTCGCGCTGCCAAATTTTTATTTCTTCAACATCTCTCTCCGGAAAACATTATTCTATTTGACTATTAAATATTTGACTATTTGACTATCTATTTGACTATTCTATTCGACTATTTTTTACGAATCTATTTACTTTGACGTCTTCATCGATCCGATTTACTCCTAGCATACGATATTTTTTAATTTTTCAATATCAGAATCTTATTGAATAGTTAAAATTGCTAATAAATTTTGTAGCTTCAGTGTACTGGATCAAGAGATCGATACATGAACATTTTGTGAACAAATTGAAACCAACGTTAGCGTATAATTTGAGAAAACAGTGACGAGAAGTATGATTGGAAATAAAGATTTGTCCCTGCACCAGGTTTGTTTTTATATTTTTTTTATTGATAATTTATATTAGAGATATTTCGTAGATAAATTATCAAAAATAATATTTGCATATTTATCGAACTCTGAAATTATTTTCGAATTATCGGACACAGCAATTGAACATCGTGGAAATGTTGACGACGTTTTGTAACAAATCCAAGTTATTTCCTCGCTAGCAGATATCGAATTGTATCCTTTCTCACCGCACAATTTCCTTCGATATCGCGGCGGCAGGGGTCGCCGACGTGATCGGCGAAAACAAAAATTCTTTTTTTCAGGTTAATCGAGAGCCGATCAACCGCACGGTGAATTCTCGAAAGCCCGTATTGTTTATTTCCCGATTGGTAGACGCGATTGAAATCTTTCTCTCGCGCCCCTTTTGTCCCTGGTCTCTTTTCATTCAGGATATTCGTCCACAACCTGTAACCGCCTCTTTAAAGCGCAAATTCAGTTCCCACTGAAATCTGAGATGACGTGACTTTGATGCAATTAAGCTCGTCTCCGATATCGCTCGTGCTGGATTGGATCTATCAATTGAAAGATCAAGATAAACACGATCTCCTTTTGTTACCTGTTTTACTGTGATAGATACAATACGAGCATTATCATGTTTCCCATTTAACTGTGTGCATTGAATCAAATTTCCTTTTCAACATTCCTCTGGAGAGAAAAAAAAGATGGCAATGGATTTAACTGAGAATCTCGGCTATTTCGATAGATTGAAAGAAGTTTAATAAACACTGCCTCTAATGCACAGATTGTTTCCTTTATCGCTACGAATTGTATAAACATCAAATGATTTAAATGTGTATCACTGTTTAACTCTCATCCCGCCCACATTTTTTCAACTTAACGTGTCCTTTGTTTTATCAAATTGACACTATCGTAAAAAAATTGATATAATAATATACTAAATATTTATTGGAAATAAAGGAAAACATACTTGCGCAATGTTCTCCTCACATTTCTCACATGAAACGATGTGTAACTGATTTTATACACGTATATTAATGTGAACTATGCACATTCCGTACTTTACTGTTGCTCATCGTTCAAGTTTGCACTCGTCATCGCTCGCATCCATTCAAAATTCTTCCGAAGTAGATTAGAGTTTAGCTGCCCACGGCTTCTAGGTATTTTTTCGATAAGGCAAGAAGTGACATGTCTTCTCCTGCTCGTGAAATTCATGTCAAATTAACACACAAGACTCTTTTCGTAACAAATACCGTCACATCTTCACGTTGCACGCTTTTTTCATTGATAGTTACACGTGTTTCATGTTAAAAGAATAAAAGTCACAAAGTCCGAGATCAATTTTCCTCAAAAAAATAACAGGATAATATACTCTGAAACTTGAAAATAGCGTCAAATTGACACCGGGAAGGGGTGAGGGTTAATTTTGTCAGATCTAACACTTTCGATCCAATTGCTCACAAAATATCACTGCATCTACACCTGGACAATGTATGTGAAAATTCCTGTACTTTTGAAAACACACCGACCCACAACGAAAACGATCGTCTATCCGACGTGGAGCATTGACTAGTTCGCACAAACGAGGTCCTACGGTAGGAAACCGAGCTGATAGAGGTCGTCGTGAGTACTATACCTCACTGTTGCATTATCAGGATAGCCCGAAGGCTCGAGCATCCTAGAGTGTCCGATTAATAGAGTGTCCAGGAGAGCCAGAGAGAAAGAGAGAGAGAGAGAAAGAGTACATCACTTGTGCCTGTGCTTACACTAGTAGCTGCTTGTTACAATTTCCGCTATTGTGAATGCTCTGCGAAGCTACTCGATCAATGCGGATGATACGGAGTCCGAGCTGGCCGCAATACCCGAGAGCCCAAAATCTGACAGCACCTTACATGGCAGTAGTGGTGGATCGCTCGGCGAGCTGGAGGACACCCCATCTGCTGTCACCAGAAGCATCTCCCTTTACGGTGCCAGGGCATCGACGCCCCTCGACCTCGTCGGAAGGATAGACTGGGCTCATCATCACACCAAAAAGATGGAGATATCTAGGCCCACTTGGTTCTTGGGCAACGAGGAGGATTCTCATCAGGTGATTTACATGACCCTTTTAATCGAACACGATTCCATTGTTTTCCTATTTAACTCTCTTAGTGCCGATCAAAAGAGTCGGGTGTACTTGAACGAAATACATTGCTCAAAAAAATTGTAGCATAGAAAGGTTTTGGATAAAAATTTGCCAACCTTGACTGACGATAACGCCGCGAAAAAATATCGTAGGATGACGACTTTCTTCTTAATTAAAGCTTGAAACCTCTACTTTAAGGTAATGTTTCTGGATTTTAGGTTTCATACACCCATAGGTTTCATTGTAACTCTTTAAATGTAAGGTCATGTTTGTCACGTTAACAATTGCCAAGTTTGACGAAATGTAAAATTTGTAAAAATTTTTTCGAAAATGCCGCTCGCAGCTTAACGAAGTTCGGTTCTTCCCGTTTAATTTAAAAGAAAAAGAAACTCGGCTGCGATTCTTTTTTCGCAAAGTTACAGCACTTTAATGTAACCCTTGCATTTTCAACTTAAAATCATTATAGTGGTGAGGATCTATGGATCTTAAAATCCGGGAAGAATATTTTAAAGTAGAGGTTTTAAGCTTTAGTTTTAGAAAAAAAGTCATCATCCTATGATGATCTTTCGCGAAGTTATCAATGAAAGTTGGCCAATTTCTACGTGAAAGACGCAGAAACTTGTGACTCGTCTTAATGATTTCTTTTTGAAACAGCCACCAAGACCACAGAAGAAGTGGAGCGTCCACGAGGGAGTGAAGATGATGGTGACTAGTCCATTTCTGAGTGGACAAGCGGATTTTCAAAAGATCGCCTCGATCGCTAAAGCATTGCCCGAAAAAATCCCGGAAGGATCAACGCCGGAGAAAGGGATCTTGGAAAGGACGATCACGGAGAAGCCAGCGTGGCAGAAGGCTAGCCAGGAGAGGAATATTACTGTGCAGGTGGCCTTCAATGGGGAAACGGCGACCTCCAAACCCTTTTCGATGGCCACGGCTTTTGCAACCTGTGCATCAATACCGCAGCTTCCAAAGTAATATCGAGTTTTATTAACAAATTTACCTAACACGAGTCTATTAACATTAAACGATCAAATAATCAGTTTCCCAATTTACAATTATAAAAATTACAAAGATATTTCGATGGGTAATGATTAGATAAATTGCAATATTGAAGTAGTTACTATAACGAAAACTGTACAAAAGCTAAATGAATTCGATCTTCTAACTTTTATGAGATAATGCAGATCAGCAATTTTTATTGCTTAGTAGGTGTATAACGTTAAAGATTTTCGATAATAGCACTATATCTTAACCCCTTAGATATTTGAACGCTGAACTCTAAGACATATTTTTCTACTTTGAAGATTTTTCTTTTCTTTCGATTTTCATTTTTTTTTTGTACGCAAAATTGAACACTTGCTCATAATCAGTTTGCGGATTTTTATGCAAAATAAAAATTCTTTTCGTCGATTGCACAAAACGTGAGCCATATAGAAATTTTTTACTTTTTTTTACTATTAATAATTTCAATGTGTTGAAAATAATAAATAAATGTTCCTAANTACTAACGCACATTGGTGTATTATTAAATAATAGTTGTAAAGAACTGTCGATATTAAATATTTATCGAGTAACTGCGGTATTTCTGCCGTAGTTTTTGATCTGCTGCACACAAAACAAACATATTGTGTGATAACTATCTTGACTAATTATCCAAAAAAATTGATTCTATTTTGCGTATCGAAATTTCACTTCCTGCACTGATAATTTTAATATTCAAGGATTAATATCGACATATTGAAACTCCACGGATATATTAGTCTCATCGTTTTCAAAATTAATGACCATTAGACTACAAATCGTTACATAAATTTCAGACTGCTTAAATTAAAAATCATATTATTCGGTGCTAATATTTCTAAAAATTTTCAATAAAAGAGGTTACTAATTGATGCTTTAGGAGATACTTTACAGATGTCATGAATGGGTTGAGATGCTTAATCTGGCAATTATAAGCTTCAGAACTATTAGTCCTCATTACTAGACTGCGAATATACCTATATGATGATATACTGCAGATTTGCAAAATCAATAGAAATGCACAAATTAGCGAGAAGTCTGCCTAATGATTGACGATGTGTATACTCATTACTGAGCGATAGAACCCTAATCCAGTCTCAAAAGTCGCAGTATACAACTGGCTCGACTGATTCGGCTCGCATGGGAAACTGCACTGGATGCAACGAAAGGAGGAATGCAATTTCGCGGTCGACAGGGAAGCCCGAAGAACGAAAACTGTGCCGGGCGCGAATAAAATCGGAATAAACACCGCCCCAAAACAACTTCGTTCGCGTGTACAGGCTGCGACAAAAATGTAGAACACCGACCGGCATTCAGTCCCCTCCCTTTCACACCCCCACGGTATTGGTAATTGAATTTCAACGAGAATAACAGGAAGCTGACAAATTTACGGGATTGCGTTACATGGCTCCCGTTCCATGATTATATCTCTTCGTTGTCCGTTTTCCATACACTTTGCATTTAATTAAAAAGAATCACGTTGCAGCGTGCCAGATGATGCTACTTTCACTCTTCAAACGCGCTGGCCGATACGATGAACAAACCGCATCCCGATACGGTGCCTCGAAAATGAACTCGACACGCTCCGAACAGGAAAAGAAAGCAAACCGACGACGCGACGTTAGCGTCGATAAGGTGCATAATGAACAGGATTCCATTTTCGCCGACGTTCTTGAATAATTACTTTTTCAATTTCCCGCTTGCGCGTTCTTCATTAAAACGTTCGCTTCACCGCATCCGCGGATTTTTATTTTCAACGTTTTGATGTTTAAATACAATCCCGTGAGATTCCCGAGCAATGCTCCCTTTCTTATGGAAATTCATTAACTTGCCAAAAGGAGTTCCGTGAATACTACGTTTTTAACGAAGTATCGGCGAAATGTGCGAATGGTCTCGGTAAGATTACTAATCGACAAGCGAAAAGAAGTTTTTTCGAACGAACTTGTTGCATTATCAAGCGAATTTATCTGGTTACACGAAATTTCGAGTGACGATTAATTATGAATTACCCGCGAACAACGTGTAATTGATTAATTTATTCTTCCGGCGATTAATTACAATATGATAATTAATTTATTTATTATTCTTGAATAACAAATGATTCGAGTCAATCCGCCGGCCATTTTATGCATTACGCGAAACTATTTCCCGCAACGACATTGTCCGATGGACCTACCTACAGTCAACATTTCATCGAAAATGAATTTACAATCGAAATTGGACACAGTACACTTCAATAAGATCGTATTTCGTATAGAAGAGACATTTGATCTGTGAATTTTTCTTTCAATTTAAATCTCATTTTACTTATTTTTACATAAAAAGTAAAAAATAAGATAGTGGAAGACTCTCCTTTGGTATAATAGAAGAGGTCAGCAGAGTACGTCGCAATGGAATCCAGAAAGTACTCTACTGTTCTACTATCAATGAAGCTAATATTCATTTTTACCAAATTAGTAAATAGAAAACAATTTTTGTATTATCACTGCAAATACACCGAAATGCTAAATATTTATCTAAATCTTCCTATCAACGCGCATTAAATAACCATTCTATCTCTAATCGCAGTCTCAATGGTCAACGTGATAGTATTATATAACGTTTGATGTTAAGCGATACTGAAGCAATGCAACAAATAAGTAGGAACGACTGCATTTAAACGGGCAAGCTTCGATTCGTCTAGATCTGATCATTCAATTGCTCTACGTCATGCGAATACGGGCAAACGCGAACGAATAGTCGCCTTTGATGTATCGACAAGGGATGAATCACGTTCACTCGCGATTGTTCGTCTTCGTTCGTGCTCGTAGCAACCTCCACCCATATGCAATCGCGTTAGTTCCCCGGCTTAACATTGCAGAAAATGGGTAGCAACAGATTTTCCAGTCGTTCCAGTTCCAGTCCCAATTTTCGGAAGCTGACTTTTCATTGTAATACGTATCGTAACGGATACTATAGAGATACAACAAATATTTCATGGTTTCGGAAAAGATGAAGCAAGCGTTATTTGCGAAAGTTTAATTATGAAATTTAATAATAACATTGTATATTATATTTTTTTAAAATTATGAATTGTTATGATATAGTACACGATACATCATTAAAAGTCGGGAAATAAAACCCCTGTTGCGTTCGCAGCTTGTCCGACCATTAGCGGACCAACTAGTTGGCAATCTTCCCTGGTAAAAGTTAATGATTTTCCGTCCAAATTTAGTAACCTCTCTTGTATCGACGAGTACCGTGTACTCATGTAGTTCAAGAACAACTTGTTCGTACAACTTAATTCTTGGCAAATAATCGTGATAATAGTATCGATGCGTAATGATAACATGTGCATTATCGTTAATTAGGTTATAAGATACGAGTGAACACGTTAACTGTCAAATAGCACGCTCGCAAAGTCGATATAACAGAAATTGTAAAACTGAAAGCAATAATTGTTACGTCTTCAACACTTCTGCATCTTTTTTAATAATAATTAATATCCAAACTCTGTACATAAGCAACGTCGCCAATATAAAACCGACTTATCAATCTCGCGAGATTGTATACAAGACAAGATTGAGATGGAATTATAGTAAATTCTTGTTCCTCGGCTCGCAAACAAAAATGATAAGAATGAAACAATTATAAAAACGAGCTGCACGGCTCGAATAATCGTGTCCCCTCTTCCCAAATCGTCCATTTTTGTTTACAAGCTGTGGGACAATTTGGAAGAATTTGCTGTAATCAGAACAGAGTGCACGAGGTTGCTAGACATAAATAATCTCACACCCAAACAGAGTATCATACAGTGTAAATAAAACTTTCTTTACACACTAAACCTATCGTGCGTTAAAAGCGACTAATGCGTGTTGATTTATAAGAATGGGAAGATCGAATTTATTTAGACAATTCACTATTTTTATTAGAATGGATGCCTCAATTAACAGATCGACTAAAGCATTTTCAATGAATACATTTGTATAATTCCAACAATGTTAAGATAATTGATTTAATGTTAGCATTTCGATATTCTAAAGTAAGAACTGACAGGACCAATTGGAAAGATAATTATAAAATCAATTCGGTACATAGTAAAATGAAATCCGCGGATGCAGACAATTGTGGAATTCATACTGGAAGCTGGCAGACATCCGAATAATCCCGTCGACGTGGAAAATCGCTGAAGATCAAGGCGACAGGTCCGCAGATGTAATTGAAGGCGGGTTCCTAAGGCGAGACGGGCCAGTGTACAGGTGATCGGAAAAAATACAATCAACGGTCGCGCACCGGTAATTGAATTTGGACGAGGATAATGGGCGACTGACAAATACGCGCGCGGCCGCGTTAGATCATTTCCGATGTGTGCCGTGCGGGCATTCAGCCAGGCCAGGATGGATCCTTGATGGCTAGATTTAAAAAACCATCCCCCGTCCAACGGTGGCCCTCGTACGGTCGCGTCGCCATGTGTTACGGTTCGCGATGATAGTTGACGATGCTGCCGGGCTGGTGGTGTTGGTGTCACCGTAGGTGACGGTGTGCTGGTCCAGTCGGGGTCTCTGTATAACTGATGGTGCTTCTGAGTGTCAGGGCCAGGCTGTCCACTTCTTTGCGAGCCTGTGAGAGTGTACGCTGGCGTGGGAGCACGTACAACGTCCGCCGGACCTGTATTGTGATTCCCGGCAAGCTCCGTCGCGTATTTGCCTCCTAAGCATGATCGGTATATTGGCACGCTCATATCAGGCCATTCTTTTCCACCGAGTTGTTTTTTTTCCTCTCTTTTCTCTTTCCGCTTTATTCCATTCGTGTGACAAGCTGAGAAATTCGTATGCTCGACGGGGCTTGAAAACCGATTGAATGCGCGCGCGAAAACGCGTAAAGTGACAATTCTTGAAAGACGGGAACTCGTATTGCGAGTTTGCTTCTGCGCTGCCACGGTTCGCCGGTCGAAAAAAAAATAGTTTTCGATTCATGCAAATGCAGTCGGA